TTCTCCGGCTCCTGGCCGTAACCTCTTCCACCTTGAAAACTCTCTCTCGCCCTCTTGTCCTTGGAAGAAGTAACGACGACCATACCTGCCTTTCCCCATACGCTTTCACGAATTGACGGTCGGAATCCGCCTCACCATCACGACAATCCTGTCCCTGACTCCGCCTTCGACAAAGTCTGACGCAATTGATTTATCCCGCGCGGCCTCACGGGTAGCAAACTTTGACGATCCATTAGTCTACCAAGGTCAACACTTACTCGTGCCAAGTTAAAACTGGCCGAGATACATTCAAAACAAACTTACCGCAATACCGTTTCTGATCAAAAACAACCATAATGCCTCCCTCAGCCCACTCGCCCAAGCGGTCCCCCCAGACTGCCGCAAAGGGTATCCAGCGCAACCCGACCCGTCGACCCTCCGCTCATTCCCTCGAACACACCCTGACGGGTCGCTCACCTAGAACCTCGAACAAGGGCCTCGCTCTTGGATCACTGGGCATGGACCGGAAACGCAGGGCTTCGTCTATATCGGTCTCCAGTGTGTCGTCGGTCTCCTCCATCGAGGAGCTCAGCGACGAGGAGGATAACGACTCGGAGGACGATGATGCCGACGATGAAGAAGATGAACAGCCGGCTGTTCGCGGCCCGTCTTATGGCCGTCGGGATCGGTCTCATAAGACGGGCATGAAGTCTGCCAAACGGACCAAGAAGATGAAATACTCCGATGACGATGGCTACGATGGCCAAAGAAGCAGTGATGACGATGACGAGGACGATTCTGACGAGGACAACTCGGATGATATCTATGCTGCCGTTGATTATATCAGTGACGGAGAAGACGATGAGGACAACGATGTAGAGAAACTCGAGGAATTGTTGATCGTCGAGTCCGAGGATGAGCATGCCGTTGAGAACATCTTGACCGCCGCCGCCGCCACAGAGACCAATGACTGGGCCGGCCCCAATGTCTTTGACGACCATATGCTCCTATCGGCTGCCTCGTTTTTCGACGACGAACAGCTCTATAGCGCAATGGAAACCTTCGGCGACGAAATGGCCAGCGAGACTGCCGTCGAGATACCCATGCCCCGCCGGGTGCACTTTGAAGAAGACTCCGATTCTTCCTCCGACAGTGATTCACACACTGAAGACGAGATTCCAAGTGACTTCCTCCAACAGGACAGCCTGGATCCCCAGCTGCGTCGTATGATCGAGAGCGACAATGAGAACTTTCCGCGCCAGCGCCGTCAGTCAGAGGAGATGTTTGCCGACTCTGACTACGGACATTCGAACATCTATCACGTGGAATCCGACGCTGTTTCCGAGGGTTCGGAATCGAGCGGCTATGAGAGTATGCAGAATGCTTGGGAACTTTTTACACTACGTTTGCTGACCCTTTCGAAGCCGATGATGGCGAGACCACAGATGAAGACCTTCCCCCTCCCGCTACCATCACTCATCCCAGATCTATCCTTCGCCGCGATTCATCCGCCTCTCTTGCACCTCCCGTCGAGGAAAAGCCTGAGCCTGTGAGTCGGCGCCGCGGGCCTATCATGGGTACCTTCGTCGCGGACCCCCACAAGCCTGTTGCGCTCGTTGATTGCACTGGTAAACATCTGGTCATTATTCCTGCCTATGCCTCGTCTCGCCATGACTGGCTGGAGTCCGCTACCAACAGTGTATGTGGTACGGCTCACAACAGCCCACGTGCCACCACCATGCATCTCATCGATGAGAGCGATACAGATGCACTCGCATCGCCCGGCCACCTCGATATGAGCCCGATGCTGGCCTCCAGTGCCAATCTGATGATGACCGCACTCGGCAATGATATTGCCCCAGGCGGACAGGTGATGGGGCCTCCCGAGGCTTTTTACCCGTCTCGGGACTTTGCCATTGACAGTTCCTTCGAGGACGACGATGAGGATGATCCGGAATCAGCCCTGAATGTCGAGGACTTCATTGACTTCGGCCATGCGTCGTCCGATGATGAGATGGACAAGGTATTCGAAGAGGAAACACTACTCTCACCCATGGCAGCTCAGACCAAGCATGCCGGCACTGGCACGCCCACCCCGAGCCGGGCTGGCGAGTCCCATCATGCTAGCAGTGCAGAGCGGTTCCTTAATCATTTGGATCGAGGCATTGTGACCGCATTCCGCCGCAATCACAACCGCTACCAAGCACTGCTGCGTCTGCCCCAACATCGGGAGTTTATGCCCGCCAACTCACCTTCTCGCCCTGCAAGTGTGTTTAGACACGCACGTAATGCAGACCAACGAACCCCTACGCGTAAGCGGAAACCCAACGGGTACAACGGTGGGGAAGCCGTCCGACGAAAGTTGATGGATGCCCACCGTCGCAGTCAGCTTCCTTTCTAAGAACGCTGGCTGTCGAAATCTTCTATGACCCTTGTCACTCAGGTCCTATGGCGCACCCGTCGATGTGGTAGCCCTCGCTGAACTAAAAACAACGAAAACAATACGATTAATTGTACATTGCTGCCAAAGCGCTGATATCTAAAAAGACGGGAACTTAATTCTCGGCAAAAGCATAGAAAGGTACTCGGACTGCATGTTCTGACTGAAACAGTCGATTTACTCTCATGGTCTAGAGGATTGGAGGATTACTCCATGACCAAAAGTTCAGCTTGATGATGATGTTTCACGGAGTTCAAAAGGGGATATACCTTGTTGCGAAGGATCAGGTAAACTCTCATACTATCTTCTAGCTATGTTCTCAATCTCGTATGCCATGTGTCATGTTACGGCGTTTGTCATTTTCCAGGCTACTATAATTCGAAAATTAAATTTCTAGGATCGATTGTGATTCTTTATGATTGATAACGTAGTACCACGCTCTGCTGAAGGTCCAATGAGACCGATCTCTGTGTTGCTCCGACGGTGTCTATCCGACTGCGTGTTTCGGGATTATTGAACACACGGAAGATATGGAGCATCGAAGTGATACTACCCTATGCAAGCCACCGCCAGGGTAGTCGAGGGTATTGCGGCTTCATAGCTCAGAAGGTCCGGGCCTTTTGTGCAACATGCGAAGTGCATATCGTCGATTGCTTGACTCTGATGGGCCCGCTGGATATAAATAGGAGACAAGCTTGTCCCGAGTCTCGACGAATCCCCTTCGCCGTTCCCCTCCAAAGTTCATCAATATGAGGCCGTACCCTCCGACACGGTGCAGAACCGGACTCCACAGGCCCGAGTTTTCATGCCAACCTCTGGGTGGCCAGCCTCTGGAAGCGAAGCTTCTTCAGCAAGATATCCGACGGTTGGCTGCCGGCCGTGATGAGCTGGCACCATTTGTAGTAGCTCATCTGTTTGTTTGCAGGTAGGATGGGTGAGGTAGTATCTCTCTGAAGCTTTTCTGGATGGAGGTCATTAGCATATCTTTTTTTTTCCCCCAGATGTGGTGATCGTGGGGATCTGCTATTGCTCCTGCTGTTATTGTGACTTTTAGTCTCTGCATCGTTCTTCATCTTCACTCGCATCATCTATTCAGATCCGGGCGCTAAGCCGCAGCAGCGATCTCCATCTGTTCGGCGGTTATTTTCAACAACGCTGAGATCGAACTTCCACCAGTAGTCTTTTGCGTTTGGTTGGTGATGAACCATCCTGATCTAGAAATGACTGGCGTTCGCTTTCTTCTTATTGGATCAGTAGGTCAGAAAACAAAAATAGCCGCTCAGGTTGGTAGATTTCCCTGAGTATGTTGATGTTGCGGGCAGTGCCATGTTCGAGGGGGGAAGGTTGCAGCGCGAGACGCCCGCTTGCTGCACGGTGAGCTTAGAGGGGATTTTGTTCTGTAGATTTTGTGGTTCGAACGATTTGAAATGAAAAGGCGAATTGGCCTTTTTTTTGTTTTTTTTTTCTTTTCTTTTCTTTTCTTGTTTGCCGAGGAAGGGGTTCTTTGGGTGGCGGTTGGGTTATTTTGAGGTGGTGTGACTTGACTTAGTTGCAACAGTAGTTGAGTTTATTGTAAGTTAGTTAGTTGTACGTTACCTAGTAACTAGTCATCGCTCATCCCGCGGCAGACTTTCATCCTTCATCTACCAACTTGCAACATTTACTCTCTCTCTCTTTTGGGATGTCCACATCCATCTTCTTGGCAGGTACTTGTTGGTCTGAAAAGATAGACAGAGACTCATCGTCATTGTCTTTTCCAAACGGAGCTAAGCCTGAAGGAGTCGGGCTGTCATTGTTAACACTGTGAGACTGTTCTCCACTCTCTTTTCCTCTGGTTGCAAGACAATGAATGAATGAATGACCAGCTAATGGCCCCTCCGGCACATTACCTCACCTCACCTCCACCAGGACCTGCGCCTATTCTGGGATCAGCTCCGACAATAGCCTCTCGTCGACGGTGATTGGCGATGGGTGTGATTGACTTCGCGCCTCCCCCTCGTTCCCTCCAGTCCTTGTCAGGGTCCTTCAGCCTGTTCCTGCACTAGCGGAACAGTCGGCGCCTCCGCGTTGGATTGGCTCTCCGTCGCACCAACTGCTCACTACAGCCTTGAAGAATGTCTTACTTGTAGAGACGAGGAGATCCAAATGCTTCGCCAGCCATGCTTGCATGCAACATCCCCGGCCAGTGAATGGACGGGGTGGGTGGAGTCTTGACCGGGCATGGTCCCTCTCCCTCACAGTCTCTCGGGCAGGAGGGCTCTTTATCCTATTGCTTTTGATGGATACCACTCAACCCCCCCCTGTTGCAGCATCCCGGTGTTATGGATTTAAGAGATCAAACGCCCTCTTTGAAAGCGGGTGGGTCGCTGCGTTTCTTTCTATTTACTTTCTTCGCTCTCTACAATTGTGTTGCTATTTATTCCCCTTCCCATTGTTGTTGGTGCTCGTTGCTGGACATAGAGACATTCGTTTCATCTGACTACTAACACTCGTTCGATCTTGTCAATCGCTTTTGCTGTATACTTTTACTCTCTCTGTCTCTTCGACATCTTCTTCTTCTTCCTCGTTCTCAGCATTGTCGTCGTAAGGTATCTTGACCACTGAAGGATATCAGCCATCTCCGTCTCTTCATAGCATCATAAGACTTTACTCTCGCTCAGTCACTTCGCTTATCTATTCGCCATGAGGGCCATTGCCTCGGTCTCTCTTCTGGCTCTCGCCGGCGTGGCCCAAGGGTCAAGTGTGGTATGTTTGTCTACCTCAGATCCGCAGAGCTCGTGCTGATATTCGCAGTGGTGGAACACCGACGAGAGCTTTACCAGCCCTGACAACACCAAGACGACCTGTTCTGAGCAGCAGCAAGCTGGGTTTGACTGGTCCGACCTGGCTGTCGGATCCTCCCCGAGCTATGCAGGCTTTGAGTTCTCGGGCTTCTCCGTGCGCAACAACTTCAGCACGGCTTCTAGCGTAAGTATGACGGCGTCGGTGGAGATGAGAGTTGCTGGCTGACTGGACCAGGCCAAATCCATCGTGGGAACACTCAACAAGGATACCTCGACGGCTCCAGAGATATCCTCTGCATCAAAGGACCAAGACTTCTCCGTCAATGACTTCCAGCTTGCCACCTCCCGCACTGCTGACATCCGCATCGTTTATGGCATGGCTGATGGTACCACCTGCAATACCTTTGCTTCTGTCTCCGCCAACGGGTCCACTGTCGCCAATGACCAGTGCGGCGGTGCCACCTCCGTGAGCTTTCTACTGGCTGAAGAGGCGAATGTCGATCTCTGCTTGTTGAGTGTGTACAGGATTGGATTCGACTGCTCTTCTGGTAAGGCGTCGACAGCATCCAATCCTTCCGACACTGCGTCTAGGCTCAATGCGAGGGCGTACTCCGTGCCGCTCATTCGGAAGGATCGGACCACGCCTGCAGCCGTTGTGACTCCTGCCCCAGAGGCGCCGACCAACAATCTGGCGACTTCGACGTACTATATCACCAGTGAAATCGTGATCACCAGCTGTGGCCCTTCGGTGACCAATTGTCCAGCAGACTCCACCACGGTGATAACGTCAACGATCCCCGTGTCTACTGCCGTTCATTCTGCCACAGAAACCTCCGCAGATGAGTCTTCGACGGAGGTGCCAGATGTTAGCTCTACCAGCAGCGTGGAGTCTAGCGTCGCTGTCCCTACTGCTACCTCTTCTATCGAAACTGTCCCCGTCGATACATCTTCTGGCACGACTACACCAACTGTCACGCCTTCTAGCAGCGCGGTCCACAGCTTAACGCACTCCAGCGAAGTCGTCCCAACTATCACACTGTCCAGCAGCACGTCTAGCTTTACGCACTCGAGTAGCGCGCTTTCCAATACCCTTCCATCTGGAAGCTTTCCTGTGGAGTTGACCTCTTCTCAGTTGATCCACACGCCTACGTCCGCACCTGTAATCACGCCAGGGCCTAGCTCCTCTGCTCCGGCTGCGGACAAAGTCACGGTGATTACTTGGGTCACGGTGACAAGCTGCCCGGTGACTTCGACGGGTACCGTCAGTGGAACTCTGACCACCTCTGTGGGCACTACGCTTTCTACGGTGACTATGACTTCAACATCGACTATCTGCACCAATTGCATTGCCCCAACCAGCGTTCCATCAGGAGTGGCACCCATCTCCTCAGGCCCTATCTCGTCCGGTCCTGTCCCTTCAGCTCCCGTCACTACACCAGGGCCCAGTGTACCTGCATCAAGCGTGGACAAGACTACAGTGATCACCTGGGTGACTGTCACAAGCTGCCCGGTCACTTCCACAGGGACTGTCAGCGGCAAGCTGACTACTTCAGTGGGCACGACGCTTTCTACTGTGACCATGACCTCAACGTCGACCATTTGCACCAAATGTATTGCGCCAACAACTGTTCCGTCGGGCGTGGCGCCCATCTCCTCGGGTCCTGTCTCGTCTGGTCCTATACCATCCGCTCCCGTCACCACACCAAGTGTGCCCGTCTCGAGCGTGGATAAGACCACGGTGATCACTTGGGTAACCGTGACCAGCTGCCCGGTCACCTCCACAGGGACTGTAAGCGGCAAACTGACTACGTCAGTAGGCACGACACTATCTACAGTGACGATGACCTCAACGTCTACCATCTGCACCAAATGCATCGCCCCTTCTACCACTGTTCCTTCAGGCGTTGCTCCAATCTCTTCGGGTCCAGTTTCATCCGCTCCTGCCAATACTCCTGGCCCAAGCGCGCCCATCTCGAGTGTAGACAAGACGACCGTTGTCACTTATGTCACACTGACTACATGCCCTGTGACAGCAACGGTTTCTGAAGGCGGCTCTGTGAGTACTTCGGTGGGAACGACGGTGTCGACTGTAACGTTGACGTCCACTTCAACTATTTGTACGAGGTGCATTGCTCCGACGTCGGTTCCGTCGTCGATTCCTGCTGTGACTCCGACTTCGCTCTCTACGTCGCTCACATTGCCTCTTCCGTCTTCTGTGGCGCCTGTTTCATCTGGTCCTGTTTCTACTGTCACTGGTGTTGTCACTGGGTCAGTCACTGGTTCAGTTACTGGGTCTGCTACTGGGTCTGCTACTGGGTCGGCTACTGGGTCGGCTACTGGGTCTACTACTGGGTCTGCTACTGGGACTGCTACTGGGTCTGCCACTGGGTCTGCTACTGGGTCTGCCACTGGGTCTGCCACTGGGTCTGCCACTGGAACTGCCACTGGCTCGGTCACCAGTTCTACTACCTCTGGTATTGTTACTTCGGCTCCCATCCCATCAGGTCCTGTCTCATCGGGACCCGTTCCAACAGGACCCGCGCCATCGAGTTCTGCCCCAATCACCAGTGTGGATAAGACTACTGTTGTCACACATACCACAGTGACTACTTGTCCTGTGACATCGACAGTCTCCGAAGGTGGCTCTGTGTCGACATCGGTTGGAACTACAGTTTCAACCGTCACACTTACTTCGACCTCAACTATCTGTACCAGGTGCATTGCGACAACAATTCCCTCTGGTGTGGCACCTATCTCCTCCGGTCCGATCTCATCGGGCCCAGCTCCGTCAGGCCCCGTCCCTGTCACTAGCGTGGACAAAACCACTGTGGTTACATATGTCACTGTCACGACTTGCCCTGTGACATCGACGATCTCCGAGGGGGGTTCCGTGAGCACATCGGTGGGAACTACTGTTTCGACTGTCACCCTTACCTCGGTGTCGACCATCTGCACGAAATGCATTGCTACGACAGTCCCCTCCGCTGTGGCTCCTGTCACATCTGGGCCTGTTGCAGCAACATCTTCAAGTGTGGACAAGACCACAGTCGTCACAATCACCTCGGTGTCCACCAGCCCTGTGACCACTACGGTCTCGGCCGGCGGAACTGTCTCTACGTCGGTGGGGTCCAGTGAATCAACAATCACTATTACATCGGTGTCAACCATCTGCACCAAGTGCATTGCGCCTACAACAGTTCCCTCTGCTGTGGCTCCTGTTACATCGGGTGCCATTTCGTCAACCCTTTCGAGTGTGGACAGGACCACGATTGTCACGATAACTTCTGTTGCTACCAGCCCCGTGACAACCACTATCTCTGCAGGTGGCACTGTATCTACCTCGGTGGGCTCCACTGAGTCGACTGTATTTGTCACCTCGACTTCGACCATCTGCACGAGATGCATCACCCCCACGCCAGTTCCATCAGGTACCTCACCTATTTCATCTGAGTTGCATAGCACAACCACTGTAGTCACCTGGGAGACTTTGACAACTTGCCCGGTCACCACGGTCATCACCTCAGGTGGTGTTCCTGTCACTTCGGTCACAAGTACTATCTCGACGGTGACTCTGACCTCGGTTTCCACCATCGCAACATCTGTTGCTGTCAGTGTTCCCTCGGCCCCAGCTTCTGCCGTAACCGGCTTCCCTTCCGTGCCAACAGCCAGTGCTTCCACTGTGACCGTAACCACTTCAACTGGTGCTCCTTCTGGGCCCACAGGTGTCTTGCCCGTCTCTTCTCAATCTCAGATTACAACTGGGCCTGCTCCCACCGTGACGTCTTTCATCTCCTCTGGTGGTCCATCGGGCCCTACAGGTGTCTCCCCTGTTTCCTCTGAGCTTGAGAGCACGACGACAGTCGTCACTTGGCAAACATTGACCACCTGTCCAGTGACTACAGTCATTACTTCAAGTGGTATTCCAGTCACTTCGGTCACCAGCACAGTCTCAACCGTGGTTTTGACCTCTGTCTCCACGATCTGCCCCAAATGCTCGGCCACTCCAACCGCTGTGGCTCCTATCACGTCTGTTGAGAAGGCAACCACTGTGGTGACATGGCAGACTGTAACAACATGTCCCGTCACGACGGTGATCACCTCTGCTGGACAGCCGATCACCTCAGTCTCCAGCACTGTGTCTACAATCACAATGGTCGCGACATCAACCATCGCAAGGACGGTCGTGGTTCCCACCGGAGTTGCCCCCGTTACCGGGGTTTCCTCACCGGCTCCATCTGCCTCGTGTCCCAGCGTGGTTCCCAAATGTATCAATACATGGCTCGAACTGGTCCCCAAGTGCACCTCGAACAGCGACTCGAGCTGCTACTGCCCCTCGGCGAAATTCACCAAGAAGGTGATTGAATGCATTCAGGCGTGGGGCTCCTCCGCGACAGAAGTCCAAGCCGGCCTCTCGTGCTTCACTGGACTCTGTGCAGCCTGGGTGCCCCAGAACCCCGGCATTGTCACAAATATCCCGTCCAGCATCACGCTAGGCCCGACCCCCGTCCCCAGCGGCGTCGCGCCCGTCAGTGGTCAAGGCACCCATACTGGAACCAGCGTCAGGCTGACCAGCGGACCTGCTGCTGCTGCTCCCTCAGTTCCCTGCACCACAATCACCTACTCCACCTGGACAGTGACCGTCCCGCAAGTCGTATTCACAACTGCTACAGCCAGCTCAAAGACAACGATCGGTCTGATCCCCGGGGGCGGTTCCCCAACATCGACTCGGTTGCCGAACCCCTGGTTCCCATCTTCCTCAGCCTGGATCTCCCGCTCAGGCACCCCCACCCCGACCCCGACCCCGTCGCCGAGTTACACACCCTTGTGGTCGAATACCGGTGCAACGCTGGGTGTATCCTGGACGTGGTGGGTGGCTGTTGTTCTGGCTACGATCATCGGCTTGGCCTAGTCCAGTTGGCCAATGTTTCATAGTCATGTTTAGTAAAATAGGAGCGCAAACAAATCTGGCAGGTTTCTTTTCCCGTTGAGCTCGGTGGTTATTGTTTTCTTTTTGTTCTCATTTTGAATCAGGAAGCAGTTTAGTCCAAGACGGTCAATGTACTTTAGCTTCGATTTCTATTCTGCACTCATAATTTACTAGTGTGTAATACTTGATCTACTTCTTCTTGCGATTGATGGACTAAGATGATGTAGTAGATGCTGTGAAAAGGTGTCTTGTAGCTGACGATGAGATCAGAGATCTTGTTGTAGATCATGGGCATTTTGCGGGTCATTGAAAGATAACGAAATGAGATTAGAAGTCATGCATCTATTTCTTACCTCTCTCCATTGCCAATGGCGTATTGTTCTAGGTGTTGTTGCATAAGGAAAAGAGTCGGCGGGGAGCGATCATCTCGGCCCTTCGTAACTCCGGCGGGCTCGGAATTAACCGACCGTCGCCGACCGACTCCAGAGAGCATGAATGATCCAGTAGTGGAGGCGGTGCAGCCTGATCGTTCATCTTCTGGTATGGACCTCAATGGACCATCAACCACCTCAGGGCCGCCGTCGCCTGGCGATCTGATTGCCCAGCAACGCAAAGACGCCATCCAAGTGGCCGCTCAGACCCCCAGCGATGCCGGGCTCTTCGCGCAGCTTACCAGCAATCCTTTCTTCACAGCGGTGAGCAATTCAACGCGATCAACGAAAACGGGTTTTTGGTTCTTTTTGAGGAGGAGAAAAATACTGATGCTGTGTTTGGTGACACTAGGGATTCGGTCTCGCAGGTCTGGGAGCTGGACTGAGTCTAGCGCAAAAGGGACTCCGCCATGGCGCTGCGCTCCTCCGCCGGCGCATGCTCGTCGACGTCGAGATCAGTGTCAAGGATGAATCCTACCCGTGGTTTTTGCACTGGATGACGCTGTACCAAAGCTCCCAACTCAGCACGATTCGCGCCGCCGCCACCGGCGCCGCCAGCCGGACTGGCTTCATGGAATCGCTCCTCCGCAAATTGACCCCGGGCACGCGCCATCTGTCCATCCAAACGCAGAAAGTCGAACACACCAACGGCGCCATCCACACGCAGTTCGCCCTCGTCCCGGGTATGGGCCACCACGTGCTGCGGTACAACAACGCCTTCATCTTCGTGAACCGCATGCGCGAGGCCAAGTCGGTGGACCTGAAGACCGGGCAGCCGTGGGAGACCATCACGCTCACGACGCTGTACGCCCATCGCCACGTGTTCGAGGAGATCTTCAAGGAGGCGCACGCGTACGCGGTCCAGGCGCACGAGGGCAAGACGACCATCTACAACAGCTGGGGCACGGAGTGGAAGCCCTTCGGCAAGCCGCGGACCAAGCGCCCGCTGGAGTCGGTGATCCTCGACGAGGGCGTCAAGGAGCGGATCGTGGAGGATGTCAAGGACTTCACCGCGAGCTCGAAGTGGTACCAGGACCGGGGCATCCCCTACCGCCGCGGCTATCTGCTCTACGGGCCGCCCGGCACGGGGAAAAGTTCGTTCATCCAGGCTCTGGCCGGCGAGCTGGACTACGACATCGCCATTCTGAACCTGAGCGAGCGCGGGTTGACCGACGATCGGCTGAACCATCTGCTGACGATCCTGCCGAACCGGACGCTGGTCCTGCTGGAGGACGTCGATGCGGCGTTCTCCAACCGCCGCACCCAGACGGACGAGGACGGGTACCGCGGGGCCAACGTGACGTTCTCCGGGCTGCTGAATGCCTTGGACGGCGTGGCGAGCGCCGAGGAGCGGATCATCTTCCTCACCACCAACCACGTCGAGCGACTGGATGAGGCGCTCGTGAGACCCGGCCGGGTGGACATGACGGTGCGCTTGGGCGAGGTCAGTCGCTATCAGGTCGGCCGTCTCTGGGACCGGTTCTACGGGGAGCTGGAGCAGAGCGCCGTCTACCGCCAGGCGTTCCTCGACCGACTGCAGGAATTGGGGCTCATCGAGGATGCAGATGGGAACAAGGCCGATCTGTCGAGGAGCACCAGTGCGGCTGCCTTACAGGGCCTGTTCCTTTACAATAAGGGCAACATGGAGGGCGCCATTGCTATGGCCGAGGGGTTGATGTTCAGGGTTCATCACAGCGATTAAAGATTTTGTAGATTAGAGTCGAGTCTCGTGTAAATTAGATCTAAGCATTTTCATTGTGTTGTGTCTTGGTGGAGCGCGCTTACGGCTTTGCTGATGTCACGCTGCATTGTTGTTGATTCCCCGCCGTCTTCATCCATCCTGCTACTACTTCCATTACTTCACACTTCCCCCTGACTCACTACTCACTACTCACTATCTCTGCAACTCTTGGCTCTGAGCCATAGCAGTTAGCACGAATGAATTAACCAGTCATGGCCGTTTACAAGGGCCAGCAGGTGACGATATTGCGCTATCCAGCCTCCTGCAGATGTCTCTAACCCATGCAACCCATGCAACTATTCTTCAGACCACGCGACGGTCAAATCATGCACCACAGCCGATCAATCACCACTTAGACAATGATCTATGCCGGCCAAATCAGATCGCCTATCACCTCTGCTATCACTTTCCGACGCGCCGTGCTGAATAAGAGTCACGCCGGTGCCAAAGCGGGGGAGCCTATCACCGCTGCTGCATGGTGGGCCATCTAAGCGCCGACCACGGGCGCTCAGGGATCCCTCGCGTTCTGCACCCCGGTGACAGCCTGTCATGTCGCAGACCCTTGCCGCCCTTTCGATGGCCGGCTTATCGAAGGTTTGGCAGGCCAAGCTTGCCCCGAGGTCTATGTGTCTGTGCCGTTGCCGTCACCGCTCCGTGACACGGGGGTGGGCGGGCGACTGCGTTGCCTGGCGGGTCGAATATATCTATGCTCTGTCGCCTATTGCTTTCTGGGGTTGATGTCCAATGGACTGGATTGCTGGAATTGTTCAGTGGTGTTGAGCTGTGCATTGACTGACTTGCTGGTATTGTTCAGTGGTATTGACGTGTGCAGTGACGATTACTTGCTTTCAGGACGTCTTCTAAAATCATGAGCTCCTTTCAGCTCTTTCCCACATCTCCCGATAGTGGAACCTCTAACAACCCGTTCTTAAAAGGAAAGCGAAGGCAAGCCGGCGGTCGACCGCTGGCGGATGCGATCCCTCTCAAGACCCTCGGTAACAAGGGCACCGTGGCCGAGGGGATGCTTTTCCGCCTGGACCAAAATCCAGAGAGCGTCCCAGCGCCCCCAAAGGCCCACGTTCCTCGGCCCTCGCAGTCCTCATCGTTGGGAACACCCCAGGAGCACGATGCACGCCGGAATGCTTCACATGCCAACGCCACTACATCGGATGACCGGATGGCCGGGCGAGTGGGGTCTCCATCCAGCTCGAAACGCAGCAAAGGAGGGCCCACGCCCATCGCAGAAACAACGCCCAAGTCAGAGTCGCCGGCACCTCCTATGAAGTCCATGTTTCCCCAGTATAACCCACAGCTACCACTCAATCAGCAAACATACTATCCCCAGGCGTCCGGCCATACTCCTCGGAATTACTCAAGACCAAGCAACATCCTCCTGTCGCCTGCCCCGGAAATTGACCAGGCCCTTGGCCCGAAGACGGTGCCTGCGAGCGTGCTGAATTTCCCTTCCGGGGTGTTGGATACACCTGAGATGCGAAACTCTTCCGTGGAGGAGCTGAGGAGTTTGTGGGAAGCGGCCAATGGTCAAAGGCCGCAGAATATGCCGGAGACGTTCAATCTGCGTCTGCAACGGTGAGCATGGGAGGTTTGGGGAATTTTTGAATAGTTGCTGACTCGATGCAGGAGTGGGCCTACATCATTTTCCTTCGGAGAATTCACCGCGCCATTCTATACGATGCAAATTGAACCGAATGACGGGATCTCTCTGACGAGGATCAATCCCTCCAGGTCCAGTAATAACGTTCCGATAATGACATTCAAAGTGGAGGATCGATCTCGGCGGGAACTGCGCGGAGACAATCTAGTCTCGCTGCTGCTGCCCCGCCTCGCCGCCGTGCTCGCCCTGGATCAGGTTGCGGAGATGGTCAAGGAGCACCAATTGCCCCACCAAGATGCGATCGAGCTGGAGGCCGATGCTCTCAAGCGGGTGGCCGAGCAGGAGTCATGCAAGCTGTTCTGGAATTCGACAAAACATAACTACGAGCTGCACCACCCGGCTCTTTGCAAGCAGCCGCCGGCGTTAGTCGGCGCGGCAGGCATCCCTTTGTCCCCAGTGCGATCGAAATACGCTGGGAGTCTGCAGGTGACCGTGTCCAGTGCCTCTGCCGAGTCCCGGTCCAGTCAGCCCCCGATCATTCTCGTGACCACGCCCGTGTCGGCCAACGCGATCGAGTCGGCCAACACGGCGGCGACGCCCCGGACCTCCACGCTGCCGTTGATGGACTCGGACGAGCCGCTGGCCGCGTTGGACCTGGGGACGATGACCCTCTCGATCTCCGGGGTCTCGACCATCAACACCGTCCCGTCTCTGTACGCGATTGACTCCGTGGTCGCGGCGATGCTGGCCGTCGCCGTGTCGGACGAGGCCACCGGTCCGATCCTGAAGGAGCTGGTGCTGTACGGATCCGAGCGATCCATCACGCCATGGGGCCAAGGACAGGGACAGGGACCGTACGGCACCGGCTACCGCAGCGACCTGGTCACCGCAGCGGCAGAGCGGGACGAGGCGCAGAAGGGCCACCAGCTGTGGTCGACGGTGAAGTCGGCGTTATCGTCATCGGCCTCGGAGAAGAGCGAGCAACCACCGCGGCGCTGGTACCGGTTCTGGGGCCGGGGCCGCGGGGCCCCAAAGCCGAAGAACCGGAAAATCGTGGTGGAGGAATTCGACCTGGAGCGGTACGGGCGGTACGGGCATGGCTCGTCGCGGGAGGGCCAGAAGCTGCCGGGGATCACGCGGGCCATTCTGCGGGTGGTGTTTTGGGGGTTGGAGGTGGTGGTGCAGCTGCTCACTTGGGCGGTTAAGGTGTTTGCGTGGGTGCTGGTGACCGCCACGCGGTGTGTGACCAGCGAGAGGTTTTGATTCTTGCCTTTTGGTTGAATATACTCAGTACAGTTCTGTTGGATAATTCTTTTTAATGACAGGGGATGCGGAGCATTCCATCTTGCCACTTCTGTTGACTTTCCCGTTCCAACTCCCGTTCCAATTTGTGTCTATCATTGCCTCTCGGTCGCCTCTTTTTAGGGATGCGTAGATGCTTACACTGATTCCCATTCGCCCCTGGCCAGTGACATGCATACATGCAGATGCACACCCGGGATGTGACACTGCAAACTTTGGCGATACATTCGCCGGCCGCATACCTTACTCGATCGAGACGCTCCCCTACATTCCGCTCTGCGACGTCGGACCGCGCCACCTTTGGGGGTTGGCGCTGGAATCTGGAATCCAGGGGATGGCGATGCAAAGTCGATCGGGATGGGAGGGTAGCATTGCATGTATGTATGTATGTATGTATGTATGGGGGGGAACTGAGTGCCGACCACTTGTATATAGGCGGACTCAACACCATAGACCCTGCCATCAAGCTCCCTTCAGGATATCATCTTCATCATCCAGAGACTGTAGTGCTGTGTGCTGTACACACACGAACAAGATGCGTGCAGCGATTCTTATCTTCTCGACCATCACCCTCGCCACGGCTACTACCAACAAAGATCTGGGGTATCTCCGCTGCGCCGTACGCATCCACCCCCCCCTCTTCCTTGACTTTGTCCCGATATCTTGGACCTGGGATATCGAATACTAATGAATCAGAGGAGGTGTAGTCTTCCATAGCCCGGACCTACCAGACGCCTCAATCCCAGTCCCAGTCCCAGTCCCAGTCCCAACCCGAAGCCCAATGCACCTCCCCCTCCGCCCTGGATTGCTTCTGTAATGCCCCGTTCGATCCCTCGGCGCTGGACCAGGCGACCCTGGATGAGTGTGCTGGTGAGGGTGTTGGTACGCCCCCCCCCCCTGCCCCTAGCGCTAGATCTATTGTTTGAGGTGTGCGTGTGCTAACGGTATAGAACCCGAAAACATCCCCGCGTATATCTGCGACGACGCGAACGTCCCCGTCTCGCCGCGGAAGGGCAGTGTGCCGATGGTGAGGATTGGGGTTGTTGAGGAGGATGCTGCTGCTGCTGCTGCTGCTGATGCTGCCGAGACCCCCGCTCCGCTGAGAGGGAGTTTGCCCATGGTCCGGGTGGGCGATTCGCTGGGGACTGAGGATGCAGGTGCGAGTGGGGGAGTGAGTGCTAGTGCCAGTGGCATTGCTAGTGCCAGTGCCAGTGCCAGTGCCAGTGTTATTGCCAGCGCCAGCGCCAGCGTCCTTGGTGGATCGCACCGAGGTAGTCAGCCCATGGTGCGCGTGGGGGACCTGCAGGCTAGTAGTTCTGCAGCTGCATCTTCAAGCAGTCTAGCGACGCCCACGGCAATCGCTAATGCTGAAGCTGAAGCTGCTGTCCCGCGCCGAGCAAGTCGGCCCATGGTGCGGCTGGGCGGAGAGACCACGACCACGACCATGAACCAGCCTCTCGCACACGCAGATACAAACCCCCACGCCCAAGGACCAGCACAGACACAGGCAGGAGAAGCAGAGAGCCTGAGAGCAAGAGCCTACAGCCCCAACTTGCACCCGGACCCCCTTCTCCTCCCGGAGGACGTCCTCCCTCTTCCTTCTGATGATTCTGTTCTCGGCACTGCAGCAGCAGGCCAAGCACCAGGCCAAGCACCAGGCCAAGAAGAGAAGAACGTCCCCCTCCCGCTTGAGTCGGTAGTCATTCCAGATGGGAACGTCAATCCGGATGTTGCGGCTGCTCCTAGCCCCTATACCAGTACCAGCTTCAACACCCATACCCAGATGGAAACGCAACCCCAACCCCAACCCCAAGCTCCGCAGCAGCAACAGCAGCAGCAGCAACAAGAAACCGAGGTCCTCGCCTCGGAGCTAACGTCCTGCGCGTGCTCTGCTACTGCTACTGCTACCTCTGGTGCTAGTGCCAGTGCTACAGCGGTCCATGCAGCAGCAGCAGCTGCTGCTGCTGCAACCCTCCAAACAAGCGCAGCCACACCCCCCACCCCCACCTCCTCAACCTCAAAAACCACCCCCACAACACTAGCAAGCGCAAGCAGCATCCCCATCCCGACGATCACCTCCTCGTCCGTGAAGCTCGTGACCGTGAACCCGACGGCCACGGCCACGGCCACCGCGACGGACGTTCGGGGGTCGAGTGCTTTCCCTTCCAGCAAGCAAGCTCCCGGGGCAGGGGAGCCGAATGCCGGGTTGTTTCAGGGGGGTGCGGGGGCCTTGCAGAGGCGTGGCTGGGGGGTTCCGGGGGTGAGTTGTTTGGTTGGGGCGGTGGTGCTTCTTCTGTGATGTACTTTTCGTTAAATGGTGGGCGTGGTGATGTGTGCGTTTGGGTCATGGTTTTTTTCTGGGTGGATGGATGGGTGGATCCTGATGCTGGCGTTTGTTTTTGGGCTGTGGTCTTAGGGTTGGAAAACAGATTGGCTCGAGGGTGAAAAGGGTTTGGTTCTTTGATGTCAAGTGGGCAAGATTGTGCAGGAAGCTGTCGGAATGGGATTGGGATTGGGATTGGGTTCGGGTGGATTTGGATCATGTGTGTATGACTTGACTTGATTTGATTTGACTTGGCTTGGTTGCTTATGAGGAATGAAAATGAGATTATCTGTGAATGAATCATGACGGTGACATTACTTTGGTAGTATATTGACAGTACATTAGCATTATTATTAGATTAGCAGTGCCTCTGGCGGCTTGAGAGCACACTATAGTACCACGTGCAGTCTAACCACCACAGTATCTAGACCCGAGAGACAAGTCTACTAGACAAACCACAATCCCCCAAAAGTCATACAGTACGCCACCTATTCAGCACAAAACCAACCCTGAACCCTCCCGGCCCTACGCATGAATCGCCTGCTGCACCCGCGGATACAACTGCACCAACCGCTGATACAGATCCGGATGCTGCTCGATCATGACCTGGGGATCCCACGCCATGGCGGCAAAGATGGTCTCGATGCCGCTGCTCATCGGCGTCAGGAAGATCTGGCAGATCTGCAGCCCGATCACGAACGCAAACGCCATGATCACCGCCGTGAAGTCCCCGTCCTGGTTGTAGGCCGGGTGGGTGTACCGCAGATACAGGTAGGCGAGGAGGGCGCACACGTAGCTCACGAAGACCGAGCCCATGGTCAGCACGGGCCCGACCAGACAGTCGGCGGCCAGGGCGTCGACGCCGCGGTCCTTCATCATGGACCAGGTGTCGCGCGCGGCGGGGAGGTACGCCTTGCCGTACAGCGCGATGTGGCAGAAGGCGTAGCGGTTGAAGAAGGTGACCAGCCAGTCCAGCAAGCTGATCAAACACCCGAGGACCCAGAAGGCCACGCTGCCGACGAGGCTGCCCTGCGCCGCCTCGTGCCGCTGCGCCACGCTGCACGCCTGCCGCAGCATGTTGATCAGCGCGATGATCAAGCTCCCGAAGCTGATGCTGCCGAACGAGTAGGTCGTCGCCCGCCGCAGCGCGCCCCGCGTCGCGCCCGCCGGCATCCCCTGCGCCGTGCCGCTGCAGAAGTACCACGACCCGTACACCCCCGCGATCGTCGTGTGCACCGTGTTCTTCAGCCACTCGCTGAACCAGTACATCGCGAACGTCACGTACACGACCAAGCCGATCACCCGCGCGCGACTGCACCCGCCCCCTCCGTCGCGACACGCAGGGTTCACCCCGTCCCCGTCCCCGCCGGGCTCATACGCGACGTAGATCGACACGAGGGTCACCGAGAACCACGCCCCGAACGCCACCGCCACCAGCCCGCCCACCGTGCTCACCAGGAACATATGCCCGTAGCGCCGCGACACCTCGATGGACGTCTGCATCATGAACGCCGTGAACGGGATCCGCGGGATCCAGCTGATGAAGCACACGATCGCGAACACCCCGAAGATCAGAAACACAATGCCCCCGCCCCATTGGTGCTGCGTCAGGTAGTAGATCGCCGTCGCCAGCGCGAACACGATGTTCAGGATCCCCGTCACCCAGATGAAGAGCTTGGGGAACGTGCGCGCCCCGACCCAGTACGCGTACGACAGCACCAGCGCCACCGCCAGCACGAATACCAGGAGGATCACCGTGTTCGTGTTCAGCGAGAAGTCGTTCGCCGCGCCGTAGATGCCCCCGCCGCTCAGGGTGTGGTATTTGCTGTATCGGTAGATGACGACGCCGGAGACGGCGGCGTAGCCTAGGAAGACGGCGATGAGCTGGGGTTGTTGTTAGTGGTGCGTTAAGAGAGGGGGCAGGGGCA